GGAAGTGGTGAAACTTATCCAGCAGTCAGGGTTCCTCTGCTCAGCTCTTGTAAGTTTTTTTTTTTTTAATTCTTAGAATATCTTAATTCTCCCTCAGTTTTAAAGTTTTGCTGGATATAGTATTAATAAAATCATTCATTGACAGGGGTCTTTTTTCCTTCTTCTTTTAGTACCTTCAATATTGGTCCACTTCTTTCTGGCCTCCATTTTCTGATGACTAATCTGCTAATAATCTTATTGAGGATTTGTCATGAGCCAGCCATGGGCTGTGTGAGCCAGCTGTGAGCATTTGAGCACTTGAGGGGACTGGACTGACAATACTTCTCTGACTGGGCTGTTCGATGTATATGTCCTTTTCACTTGCTCTGCCTTTGATCCCACACAGCACCTGAGATGAGTGTGGCCTTCCAAGATGTCAGTCAATCTGATAACCACAAGACATCATGAAGTTAGACTCAACCCCCTGAAACCTGACCCCTGGCCTTATTTGGAAAGAACATTCCATTGAACCTACCTTTGTGTGCCCCCCTATAAAAATAAAGAATCCAGGTACAAGCTCTGAATTTCCAACAGACCCTTAAGGTTGAGAGCCATCACTGATTCCTGCAAGCAAAAGGTATTTCTGTGTGTTGCATGTTTTTTTCGCCATTTTCTTAGTTATTGAGGTAGACAGATTTTGTGAACCCAACTCAGGTTGTGAGCCTGGCTAGTTGGCGACAAAGGATCCCTTTTATGTGTATTTCTTTAGTTCTTTGAGCATTTTTTATACCTTTATTTTATTTATTTTTCTTCTGTGGTGCTGAGGATCGAACCCACGGCCTTGCTCATGCTGGGTGAGCGCTCTACCGCTGAGCCACAACCCCAGCCCAGTTCTTTGAGCATTTTTAAGACAATTGTTTTAAAGTCTTTGTCTAATAGTACTATCAGGCCTTTTTAAAGAGACAGTTTCTGTTGGCTTATTTTTTCCATTTGAATAGGCAAAACTTTCCTGTTTCTTTGTGTGCCTGTGGTTTTTATTGAAAACTGCATATCTGAATCTAATAATGTGTTAAGTCTGCAAATTAGATTCTCCCAATTTCTCAGAGTTTGTTGTTGTTTTTGTACTTAGATTGCTTTAGGTTATGTCTATGCCAATAGTCAACCTATGTTTGCAACATAGGTTGACTATTGGCATAGACATAAACCTATGTTGCAAACTTTTAAGGCCTTTTGTGAATTCTAGTTTTCCTAATATACTTAGTTATTGTTGAATGCCCATAGTCTTCAATGTCTGGCTTCCAAAAGAGGGAATATGAAGCCAGCTCTTTAAATTCTCTGTAAGTTACTTCAACCTGAGGGGGAGAAGCTGCAACAAAGAGAGGAGGGGCAGCAACTGTGGCCACTTCCTCTTTCTCTGCAATGCTGTGATAGGAAGCAGCAATCAGAGGATAGATTCTATTTGAACGACAGGTTCTTTTTCCCCACTCTGGCCCCCTGAGTTGTGTGCAAACTGCTCTGTGTATACATACATAGCAGCCTGCCTCAAGAGTGAGGTGTGGAGCATGTTAGCTCTACTGAACTAAAAGTTGAAATTGACCAAATTTAACCACAATTTAGCATCTAAGTCTTCCCCTGGAAGTTGCAAGCCTTCAATGGACTTGAGTTCCAAAATAGTTTCATCAGACATATTCTGCCAATGCAATTGCTTTCTAGGTGAAGAGAAAGATTTCCTTCTGGTGCTTTGGACTCCACTATATTCCTGGAATCCTCTCTCTGTTCTCCCTATTTTTTGCAATCATAGAATCTCTAGGTTTTGGCTGGGTATATGCTTACCCATAATCAATACTCTGTATCCCAGCCGTCTTTGCAACTAAGACCAAGTGACCAAATTTTGGCCAGTGGGATGTAAGTGTAAGAAGGGGTACAAATTTAAAGTGTGTTTTTATAGAGATGCCCTTCTCCTATTCCAACTTCATGCTGAATGTATAATGGGTGTATAGAATTTGAGCAGTCATTTTAGACTGAAGACTCATGTTGATGCAAGAGAAACAAGAGAACAAAACTGGGTTCCTGATACCATGGGTGCACACCAGACATGGAATAACTATATTTAGTATTCTTTTGAACGAGAGAAAAATAAATTTCTGTTTTGTTTAGCCACTATTGTTCTGGTGATTTCTATCATATTATAAACAGTTACATCTAGCCCAAATTAAGGGGTATAACTAACTTTCTAGTGCAAAGAGCACATTTTTAAAAAACATTAATAGGCTTGTTGTAATGTCTTTTTTCATTTATCCACTTACTGAACAAACATCAAAGAGGGACATAATTTGGAGTCTAGAAACCTTAGGCAGAATTCACCAAAAAGAAATTATTAGATTATATAAAGGCTACAACACTTACATACTGCGTGTAGAGAACAGCATCAGTGATTGTCTTAGCTATCAAGGATACTATAACAAAATATCACAAGGTGGAGGACTTATAAAGAAAATTATTTCTGACAGTTCTGGAGGCTGAGAAGTCCAAGATCAAGGTTCTGGAAGAATCATGGTCTTGTGAGAGTCTGTTCTGTTTCACAGGTTGTGACTTGCTATGTCCTCATATAGTCGTAAAGGCAAAGTGTTCCCTTGGTTCTCTTTTATGAGAGCACCAATTCCATTTAAGAGGGCTCTTTTGCACTGCCTAATAACTTCTCAAAGGTCCACCTCCTACCACCTCCTTGGGAGGTTTGAAGTTCAACATATTAATTTTGGGACGGCAGAAGCATGCATACCATAGTACTGATCCTGGGGTAGTCCCAACTACAGATGCCTCAACTTATTCTTATAATACAAAAAGATAACTAGAATGTTAATCTAAAATAAAGATTAGGGATCTCAGAAAATTACTGGATTCTGAGTGTCACTATCTGAAACCGTTTTTGGTTTTTTTTTTCTGTTCTTGAAATTTCTTGTATAACTTAAGATGATGCTGTAGAACCCTGAGCAAGTTTTTTTCTTGGAGACAATTAGCTTAATACTGTTTACTTTAGAAAGTCCAGTTTACTACATCCATGGTTTAATTCTAAATTTACTAAGTCCCAGAATAATACAAGTCCCATAATAATACAACATTTCACATTTCTAACCCAAATTTTGAAATGTTCCAAAATCTGAGACTTTGAATGCCAACATGATACAAGCAGAAAATTCCACTCCAAACTCATTATGATGAGTAAAAATGCAGGTGTATAAGCAATTTTGTATAAAATTACCTTCAGTATATGTGTATAAAGTATATAAAAAACGTAAGTGAAGTCCTTGCTTAGACATTGGCCCCACTCCCAAAATATCTCATTGTGTATGTGCAAATATTCCAAAATCTGGGGGGGGCGGAATCATAAATCTAAAACACTGTGATCTCAGCAGTTCAGAAAAGGAATGCTCATAGTCCAGGAGACTTAATAACAGCAAGAAAAACTTTACAAATTAATGATTAAGAGCATAAGAACTGCAATCAGACCTATCTCAATTGGAATTTACCACTTCCATACAATGGGAGGTTGGGAGAGTAATTTTTAACATTTTTTAAGCCTCAGTCCCTTCACTGGGGATAACTGATACACAGATTTCATCATATAAAATACTTAGCACAATGCCTGGCACACGACTTGTCACTCAGTCAATGAAAAGAAATATCATAAGAGTATGTGTAGCTCATAAAAGGTTACCCATCGAATCTTCTATAGATGCCCAGATGTTAACAGCTCATTTATAACACGAAGTCACAATAAGATTATTCACCATGTTCTGCTAACTCTTCACCATCCATTAGTACAGAAACTCCACCCATACCAACTGCCCTCCCCCAATCCAACTATTCCTGCAAATTCTCCAGTAGTATCTTCATGAACAAGTTCTTACACTTCAAGTGATATCTACATCATTCCTTCCTCTGATCTCTTTGGTGATGTTTGTAGCTAGGGCTCCATTGCCTTCTAAGGTGCATTGAAATTTCTCTCCACTACCTATACATTTTCCTTAAAATGTTTTTTTAAGGGGTCAGGGCTGTGGCTCAGCAGTAGCATACTTGCCTGGCTTGTGTGAAGCACTGGGTTCAATTCTCAGCACCACATATAAATAAATAAATGGCAATGATTTAAAATTTTTTTTAAAGTTTCTGTTGTTATTTTTCACTTTATAAAAAGGGTATGCTGTATGTAATTTTCTGGAACCTACTTTTTTAACCTAATAGGTTGCTAAGATTCATACATACCGGGGCTGGAGTTGTAGCTCAGTAGTAGAGCACTTGCCTAACGTGTGGGCACTGGGTTCCATCCTCAGCACCTCACACAAAAAATAAACAAAACAAAGGTATTGTGTCCATCTACAACTAAAAAAAAAGATTCATATGAATTGTTACATGTCATTGTGGTTCATTTGTTTTGACTGCTATACAATATCATTCACTCTTCTGTTGGTTGATATCTGGGTAGGTTCTAGATTTGTTGTGGAAGTACTACAAAATACATTCTTGTACATATTTACGTGGGTGTTTTGGTTAGTTTCTTTGTCCTGTAGTGCTGGGGATTGAAACCCTGGCCTTGTGCATGTTAGACAAGTGCTCTACCACTGAGCCATATCCTCAGCCCTCTCATACTTATTATTGTACTCATATAAATTGTAGCATATACCCAGGTGTGTGTGTGAATGTTACATATACTTCATATGTATTTCTCATATCTAGTATTTTCACTTTTTCAATTTCCCTTATCTATTTGAGAATATTTATTATAATTGTTTTAAATTTTTGATCTACTCAATTCTGCTTCCAAAATATTTATATGTAAATTCACAGGCTTATTATAACATATACACAACTATGTACATTGGTCATTTCTGAAGAACCAAGATTGATACCCCCACATACAAAAAAAACCAGTCCAACTGGACAACATTTCATTTATTTTATAATGTAAAATATAGAAACTTTGAGAAAAAAATAAGATTTATTAGAACCTAAAGAGTTGTCTTAGGAAAACAATGCTTGCTGAAGGTATTGCCTTTTCTCCAGCCATGATGAGCATCTTTACTCTTGGCAATCCATGTCAAAGCTCAGAGACAATGTAACTCCAGATCTCTCCTACTCAGCTGTGAACCTTGGTCCTGGACTGAATGTGATTAGAGGTTGTAGAAATATTAAAAAATAAGAACAATATCCATGAAAGCCATGCTCAGAAGTGAGTACTCTTTCCTTCAGGTTCATTAGGAGCAGAAAAGACCAACATTTCTTCTATTCATTTGGCTTTTTTGGTTTGAGGTTCCATTGTGGAGCTGAGCACTCCACTGCCCTTCCTCCACTCACAAATGTCTGCATAGTTGCATGTACGGCACTTCCAAGCCTCTTCCACATCAACCCCTTGAGGCTCTCGGTGGCCCATCCAGTAAGCCATATAATGCTGTACCTTATCTCTCATCTCCTTCTCTTCAAAGGCTWCAATCTCTGTACCTAATGCAGTGGCAGTCTCTTGATGGATATATTCAATCTTTAGAATATCAATAACTGGGAGGTCAGATAGCGTGAGAGACAAGAAGACTAGTTCCATGAGGTCACCCAAAGACTTCACAGAAAARCCTCCCTGCCRGGCATGCCGCAGCACTGAAGGCCCCAGTGRCTTGTCTGGACACAATTTTGTGTGGTGGATTAGGATCTCAGGGGTTACTTTCCCTTGCACCATGGCATCAAAGATAAATTTGTATAGCCTAACTTGAAAACAGTCTTTCTTTTTCTGAGCTTCCAGAGGGAGCATGGGGCGCCTACGTGTCTTGAGTTCAGCCAGTTCCAGTTCCCCTTTGGCTGTATAGTGCAACTCATCAATCACTCCAACAAGAAACACACCCTCCACCTCCCCAAACACTGGAAACTCTCTGATGCACCCTTCTGATTGCAGGGTAGGAATCATTGATAGTATATTCAGAAACTTAACTGCCCAATTATCTTCTTTAGTGGTGATGGGAACAGTCACAAGATCATGAAGTTCTAATTCTCTAGCTAGGTGGATGCTGGCACCAGTGTCCAAAACAGCTGCTTTCTCAGGTGTCAAAAAATCAGGAAGCTCCTTTTCAAATGCCATTTGTAATTCACACCAGTTCTGAGTAGATAGGTCCGTGACATATAGATATTTTAAGTGGAATCTTTCCATGGGTGAAGAGACATCCAATCCTCGTTTCCAGTTTTGTAAGCTTACAGACTTGCCATCCTTTTCAGGGAGTTCAGAAGGACCAGGCTTGCTAACTGAAGCACTTGACTCATCATCCAGATCCAGAAACTCTAGGAACTCTGAATCACTCAAGTCTGAGAACCCTGAGGCTTCTGGAGATGCTGTCTCCTCCTCCCCAGTCTCTGCCATGGCACAGCTCTGGACTGAGCAAAGAGGTCCCTGCATAACATGTTAAAAGACATGCATTATCAAAATTAAAAACTTCTCAAAATCACTTTCAAAATCCTATGAGATAAAAAAGACTCATGACAAATTATTCATTGAAATTTTAGAAAAATTTCTTAATGACCAAGAAGTGATGCCAAACAGTTGCGTACAGGTACACTTTAAAAAAAAAAATCACTCCTTATATCATTTATATATGTCTGTTTGGCAGATTTTTTTTTCTTTTGAGCTGCTTGGAATTGAACTCAGGGCCTCATTCATGGTGGGTAAGTACCCTACCACTAAGCTACATCCTCACTTTGGCAGAAAAGTTTAAGTGGAAAAATAGTTTTATTCTTGGATCTGCAACTTATATACTGTGTATGGCTTTAAGCAAATCATTTTTCTTGGCCACAGTTTCTTCAGATTTAAAAGGAGATTTGAGGTTTGCCTTTTGTGCTTCAAATTTAATAATGACTTGAAACTTTGGAAACTTTTTTTTTTTTTTTTTTTTGCAGTACTAGGGATTAGACCCAGGGGTGTTCCACCACTGAGCTACACCCCCAGCCCTTTTATATTTTATATTTTGAGACAGGGTCTCACTGTTGCCCAGGCTGGCCTCAAACTTGCAATCCTCCTGTCTTAGCCTCCCAAGTCACTGGGAATACAGGATGTACCACCACCATTCCCAGCTCAGATGTAAATTCTTTAGCCTACATTTCTAAACAGCATTCTCCTACAATACTGTTATTACATCCAACAAAATTAATAATACACTCCAGACCAGGTTCAAATTTTCCCCAACTGTCTTAAAAATGTTCTACATAATTTTTCTTTATATCAGGAAACAACAACCACATATTGTGTTTGATCGTTTTGTCTCTGAAGTATTTTTAAGAAACTAGGCAAATTATTTTGTGAAGATTTAATTTTTTTTTAGTTTTTGAAGGACCTTTATTTTATTCATTTATTTATATGCAATGCTGAGAAATGAACCCAGTGCCTCACACATTTGAGGCAAGCACTCTACCACTGAGCCACAATCCCAGCCCTTTTTTGAAGATATTTTTTAACCCAGACTCCTAACCTCATTTATCTAACTTTGCATAGAGAAGAATACCACAACAGGGTATGACCAGTACACTAGTGTCAGACAAGAAATTTAAGCTGCTAGGGTAACTATGAAACAAACCCTTTGCTATTCTAATAAGCAATGAACATGGTGAATGCACCAACTCTTATGTCAAAGCTTAATATCTAACACTCTGAGAGTGTCATTATTATTAATTATGGCTGTTCTTAACTAATTTTTAAATAGCCTATATGTCATTAGTCAAATAAAATATAAAAAGCCATAAGAAAGGTTATTTGCAATGAGCAAAAGTAATGCAATGATACGACTTTTGCTTACACTCTGTAAAGTTATTGCTTTATAGGATACTTCAATAGTAATAAAATACTGAAACACATTTGCATAAATATCTTAAAACTTTAAATGTATTTTAAATGATGATAGTTTCAAAATGAATAATTTTATTTGGACTACGAAGTTCCTGAAATTTGGCAATGATTTTTACACTCCAGCAAACTAAAGTCAAATAGCAATTAACATGTACACTCTGAGTTTTGCATTGTTTTTGAGGAGTCTAAGGAGCACTAAATCCAAATCAATTAACTTTGAAATACTGTTTCAAATATCTAGACCTGGCTGCCCGATATGGTAACCTCCAGCCATAAGTGGCTACTTAATTTAAATTAACAAAATAAAATTTTAAATTAATTTTCTCAGTTGCACTAGCCACATTTCAGTGGTCAGGAACTATATGCTGCTAGTAGATACTGTAAAAGTCACAAAAATAGTACATTTCCCTCATCACAGAAAATCAAATTGGACAGCACTGACTTATATATATTTCATTAGTATGCATTAACTTCTAAAGAGAGTAAGCTCCTGAAAGATACAGACTCCACACTTGTTTTATATACAACATTGAGCGCAGGGTAGTCCTAAACAGCTAAGTGAATTAATGTCTTATGGAGAAAACAAAGAACAGGAGCATTCTCTGTGGCATTATTTGTCTAAAAGAAGAAAACAATACAGTAGAGATGGACCATTTGGACTCAGGTGTGTGGCCTGAACTTTCCTATGCTTAAAAAAAAAAACAAAACACCTCACACACACAAAAAAACTGGAGAGCACAATGCAGTACACCACTGACACATGAGATGAATAATACAGATAGTGTCACTTAGATAGTAGATGCTTGTAAACACCAGCACAGTGTCAAGAATCTAGGGATCCTACAGATTTGGATTCTGAACCTGATCTTGAGTAGTTCAGCAGAGTTTAGACATATGCTACCGACTTTTTGAGTAATCTTGGACAAGTTTTTAGCTGACACATCTTTAAAATGTCCCACGGTGAGTAGGGCACTCATCTAACCCTATTCAGCTACCCAATCATGGAGTGATAAAATACAGTACCCATATTAGTACTCAAAAAAAAATATGGCTCTCCTTTCCCTTACCAAAGAAGGGATGAGACAGTGTATTCTTTCTGACAAATGAGACTGAAGAGGAAATGTCAGCCGACTCACCTGAAACTCAGCTGGTCTTCCTCCTCACAGGGAAGGGCAGAATACTACAAAGATAAAGGGGAGGAGAAAAGTTCTGAAGACCACACATGGAAGAAAAAAACCAGATTAGCCACTTGGGCCTCTGCTATGCTTAAATGGAATCTTTTGGTCCTTTGTCACCGAACCCCTCCCTCACATTACTCTGTTTCCTCCTTCCCAGTTCACACTTCATAGACTGTTGCCCAGCACCCCAGATCCTAGATAACACTGGCCTCTCTATTGGGGCTGACTTCTTCATTTTCTCCATGCCCTGGATGCAGTTACTTGACCAAGTCTCTGCTCCCAGAAAGTAAAGGGTTAAAAATAAACAATGTCCCCAAGAGCTCTGAGGTCGGTATCTCTTCTAGCTCCAGTCTTAGTCCAGGAGCTCTGGTAAGAGACTTCACGTCAGAGGTTTTGCTTCTCTGAGAGTTCCTGCTGCCTGCATGTCATCGGGCTTTCGCTTTCCTCGGATCCCAAACCACTGTCTCTCCGGGAGTGTCATCTATGCCGAAAAGTATTCTAAACACTTCCTACAAGTCCTGGAAGAGCGGGCCATGAGAGTAAGCGGCCGCCGGCCCTGAGAAACTCTCAGCCGAACGCACATTCTTCGGAGCTAGAAGGTTCAGAACTCACGAGAATCTGGCTGCGTCGGGAGAGGAGCGGAGACGGTGGCCGCGGGCGATTCCCACTCCGGGGCGGGGAAGGAGGGAGAACACAGCGATCTGGGAGCTCAGGCCCTTGGACTCCGAAAAGCAGTCTGTACAGTCCCCCAGCTCGTTCGCCCCCCAGACTCCACTTGGTTTCAACGTAGCCTCGGAACTGCTTCAGGACTCTTCCTTAAAAGCACCAATAACCCGCAGAGCGAGCGTAGAGAAAGAAGACTACCCCAAGCCTGGAGCCCCGCCCCAGAATGCCCTGGGCAGCCCGAACACCACCTCTTCCCAGAGTCCTTCGCGGCGCTGCCCAGTCCTCGCGAGGATGTAGCTCCGACGCGAATCCCGCTCCCAGCGGGCCAAGGAGGCTTCTGCTATCGCTGGCTTGGGCTTAGGGAAACTCTGGGAGCTTGGGGCTCCGTGTGTGCTGGTCGTTTAGTTGTAGCCCGAACTCTCCCCTGACTGTAGGCGCTGTGTCTGCTCCTTGCAGCCTTTGGCTCTGTATCTGCATCTTAGAGCCTCGCACCAGCTTTCCCACTGAAGGACAAGTCACGAGCTCACTTCTAAGATTCCGGTGCTCCCCYCCTCGGGGTAGTGTTCCCCACCCCTTTATTGGGAAACATACAATCACATTCTGAAATATAAGTCAGTAATTTTTTTTAACGCACTTTTCACCATTCGTACAAAAATAGAACAACCAGACCTTCCCAAAGACACTTCTGAGGCAACCACTACCTTTCTATGACTGCTCCCTTCCTTTTCTTTACAGCAAACTTGATTTATGACAAAGGTGGCATCACACAGCTATGGAAAAAAGATGGTCTATTTAGTGAAGGTTCTGTGACAATATAGTTATTCTTACAAAAAGCAGTATAAAATGGGAACTTCTCACATGATCACAAAAGTCAATTTCAGGTGGATTGAAGATTAAATATGAAATGCTAAACAGTAAGGCTTTTAAACTAATATAGGTGCTAAAAACTACAAAGTACGTTTTCTGTCAGTTGGGAAAAATTTAAAGTGATTTGTATCAGATATTATCAATCAATTGTAAATATCCTGAATGCACTAATGTTGTTGTGGTTATGTAGGAAAACGTCCTTTTTCACAGGAACATGGAAGTTGAACAAAAGCATTTTAATCAAGTGAGATATGAGAAGGTTAAGTGGCACTCCCTTTCTCCACAGAAAAGTCTTAACTGGGCTTCTCCAGAAATATTCACCATGGCTGATTTTAGGAYTGTCTGCAGAAGAGTTCAATGTAGATAAACTTCCTATTTTCATGTTGCCCTATCTTACTTGGCCRCTGGCCGGGAAGAAATCAGCACTCCAGGTGCTGGACATCCCTTACTAGTTTTTCACAAACATATCCAGTATAGTAGTTTGTATACCAATTGGGCTCCATGGTAACAGCTGGCAGGGGGAGGACAGAAAGGGGAGAAGAAGCTTTCCCCTTCTCAAGTGTTGTCCTTGAAGGGTTAACTTTCCCAAAACAGTGAAAGGAGAAGCTGCTTTTATGTGAACTTCTGCAGACTGTGAACTTCTGAGGCCCTCCCCTTACATGCTGGGTATAAAACTCTGAAACTATCTGAACTTGGGGTTCAGGGGATTGACTGATTACAGCAAAAGCTGTGCCCTCTGAACCTGACTGCAGCCAARTAAAACTGTTTCCTGTTATCTTCGGTGCCTTGCCTCATTTGTCCCTACAACAAAGGCATTGATGAATTGAGGTTTAAGGTTTCTACCTCCTCCCCAGTATAACCATCTTTAGCCAGGATGTAACTTCTAATGCCAGAAAACCCCCACCTGGACCCCTTCACACATGGACCATTCCTCAAATGGTGTTGGGGGACAATGTGACTGGTGGAATGAAGCAGAAGATAATGAAAAACAAACATGAAATATTGGGGGGAAAGAGTGGTTCATGTGTGACAGGGGTATTATACTGGGGAGGAGGCAGAAATCTCCAAAACTAACTTCAGGTGAGGCTTGATCTAGTCATCAAGCAATATGTCCAGGATTGAGCTTCCTCTTTCCATCTCTTGGATCTATTTCTAACTGTGGTTGATTGTCCCATATCCAGTCAGTATTTATCTTTCTCTCTTAGTTTTCCAGGGCTACAGCCTTTCAGATTTGTGTCCAGTGAGGGGTGTTGGGGGAGGTGGGGTTCATTTCCCTATTACTTAAACAGAAGTCCAGAAAATTGGCCATTAGTTGAGCTGGGGTTACCTTCCTGCTTGAGCCAAAGTATGCTAGAAAAAAGAGCCTGAGGTAAGAAATACTGTTTTGTTTTCTTAACTTGGAAGGTGCAAACCCATAGCAGAAAATTAGAGAGTGAAACAAGCAATAAAGTAATGCAAATTGAAGTGGTGTTGCTGCACTGGCCATTACTTCATGTTGAACTGTAATTTTATAAAATTTATATCTTTTATTTTACTTTCTGATCTAAAATCCTATAAGATAAGKTCTATCTTTTTGGTTTATTTTATAAATTCATCCAGGAAGGCACAAATTTTATGCAGCGTATAACATACCATTCTCTGATGATACATGGGAGGCCGAACAGAAGGTAACTAAACAAAGGAGCTGGGCAGAAAGAAGAGGAACTTACAGGGTTGAAGACTAAAACCCATGAAATAGTGTAGAATATTTGGGGGACCATAAGATCTTTATGGCCAAGCAAAGTTTGGTTGGGTGGAAATTTGGAAGCTTCTCCCAGAAAAAAAATAGGCAGTACTGTATACCAAGTGTTCKATAGTTTAAAATTTGACCTTTATTTTTAAGTTATGACAAACCATTGAGGATTTTAAGGAATAAAGTGGTTTGATATGTGTTCTAGAATGATCATGCTAGCAGCAGTGCAGAGAATAAAGAGAGGAGTACAGATTAGTTATGGGAAAAACTAGTTGGTAATCTACTTATGTCATTAGGAAGGGCTAAGAACCTGATTAAAACTTTGGATATGGAAATGGAGAGAAGAGAGGCTGAGGAGATTCTAACAGAATATACTGTACTTGGTGACTGATTGGGAAAGGTAGTGGATGACAGGAAGAAGTTTCAGCTATCTTAGAATTGGATTGATGGCAGTACCCCTTCTGGGTTAAGGGATACAGATTTTATTGAAACAATTTTGAGATGAGTTTTCAACATGTTGACTATAGGATATCCAAGTGGCAATATCCATTGTTCTGGAACTCAGGATGAGATTTCTAAGATAGAGATGMAGATGTTATAAGTCTTAGAATATTAATGAGATAAACTAAATAATGTGTAGAGATGAGAAAGTGCTTAATAACATGGCCCTGGAGGAGAGTGTATTGGTGATTGGCAGAGGGACAAGTGCCTGTGAGATAGAGAATGAACAAGCAGATGCAACAGGGAAGCCAATAGGTAGGTCCTGAAGCATAACATAGGACCTCCTAAGGCAGTCATAGAGGTAAGAAGTAAACTCTTGCATCAGCAAACAGTGGCTACATTCAGCCAGTTAAAGGCAGGTATTTGGAAAGCTAGAGTAACAAACTTTGAGGAAAGATGGTCAAAAATGTAACTGAGGGCTAAGGTTGTAGCACAGTGATAGAGAACGTGCCTAGCATGTATGAAGCACTGGGTTTGATCCTCAGCACTGCATATAAATAAAAAACAAAGGTCCATTGACAAATTTTATACACACACAAACTTTTTTTAATTTTTAAATGTGACTGAGGGGCTGGGGTTATAGCTCAGTGGCAAAGCATTTGCCTAGGACTTGTGAGGCATTGGGTCCTATCTTCAGCACCAATAAAAACAAAACAAAGGTATTGTGTCCTTCTACAAATAAAAACATTTCTTAAAAATGTAACTGAGGACATGGATAATTAAAAAAGAGGATTCCCATCTCTTCTTCATCTATAAAATCAGTGTTCTAGATTAGGTGAGCTGCTAGACTATTTCCAGTTCTAAAATCCTGATTCTCTGGGCAGGCACTGAAGAATGGGTAGGATTTGGAACTCTTATGAACATTAACCTTTTCTTCTAGGAATTTCTTTCCCTTCCAGACACTACTCCATCCACATTGTTCCAATGGTAGCTGAGATCTCTGCCAGCAGTTTAGGGGTGGGCACCTGACCTAGTTGGGCAAATAACGATYCCCCCCCGGGAAGGGAAGAAAAAGAAGGCAGCTTTTCTCTATCTATACAAAACATGGAGCTGATGGTAACTGGGATTTGTAATCAGCTGTTATATGTGGTCTGTGTTGGGGCAGGGGAGGTAGGTAGTACAGAATGAAGATACAGAAGCAGAGATGAGAGATGGAGAGAGAAAATGACCGGGATTGTCCAAAGTGCTTCTGGTCTCAGTTCACTGTTAGCAAGTATTGCAGCTCCTGAATTTCATGATACACTAAGATCTAATATCTAATATCCTCCTTTGAGACTTATACTAACCCTTCTTGATTTGTTATTTGCAACTCAATCGAGTCTTACTATACTGATATTAGAGCCCATATGGGAAGCAGAAAAGTGAATGAGAAATGAAACTAAAAGGTAGGACTATATATAATAGAGGATTCTGACAAGGTCTAGATTATAAATGGAGTAGTGGTTGGGTAGTGAGAGCTAAAAGAAAATTCATTGACACAGAATCACTGAAAACTAAGCACAGAATTACAGGTCTTGGCCTTGGTGTTCATCTTTCATAATCTAAAAAGCAATGTTAAATAATTCTCATTCGTTAATGCTTTTTAACTAGAAAGTCACGTCCCTCCTGTCTCCCTCCATGTGTTAAATTTGCTAACAGAATCGTCCTGTAAAATGCTACACAATGTACAGTCAGTCATCCATGGTAGACCCTGCCACTAAGTACCCTTCCTTGACCGTCAGTTCGTCCCCATTCCAGGTGGAGGKGTTGCAGCCAATATTATATTCGTCAAGGTAAGTGGTCCAATCTCTTTAAAGGGAGGTACCAGGCTCAAAAGTCAGAGTGAAGCAATTGTTGGAAAGATGCCTTCTCCTTCAGCTGAAATAAAGATAAGGTTTTCTTACTGGAGCTGGAGATGGCAAGTGCTGCTGTTTCTCAGAGATATAGCTCAGCTAGTAATTATAGGCCATGTGTCAAAATATAGAATGATGCTTCTTTGATGGCTGACAAAGCAACTGGTCCAGGAGATGCTTCAGCCTCAAAGAAGGCTCTTTTAGTTTTGCATTTTGCTAGAAAACAAATAAATTGGTCCAAGTTCTGTGAAGGACTGTTTGCTAATACATACCCCCCAGGTGTAGAAATCCCAGTTCTAGGAATTTGCCCTACCTATAAAATTTACATGTGTAATGAATATGTGTAGAGCTATTCATTGCAATTGTATAAACAATTAGAAATAACCCAAGTCAATCCATAGTGAAGTGGCTAAAATATATTGATACATGAAATATTAAGCAGCTCTAAAAACGAATGATTCAGTGCTTTATATAGTAGAGTGACCCCCATGATATATTAAGTAATAAAAGTAATGTGCAGGTGTTTTTGTTCAGGAGGCTGCTGTTTATGTTTAAAAAGGAAAAGTATATTTGTATTATTTTGATTGTAGATAAAAATCTGCAAGGGTGCACAAAAAAGTTATAAAAAATGATTGCCTCTAGATAACAGAATTATGTGGTGGGAAATGGGTGGAGGAGGCTTTTCATTGTATATAACTGCACTTTCTGAACTTCATATCATGTGAACACATTCCCCATGGGGAAAWTTTTTTTTTAATCTAAAAAATAAGAGTGGTGGTATTTTAGATAGTATGTCCCAAATGCTGGACTGTAAATCAGTGAATTCCCATGAGGTAATAATTTATTAATCCACCATGAAATCAGGAAAAAATATGTTGTAAATATTTCATGATACTTAATTTATTTAATTTGAAGAACTATATTTTAAGTATTTTGTATAGAAGTGTCAGTAGTTATTAATGTAATGTTTATTTACACAACAGGCAAAATTTAAAGTTGCCATCATTAAATCAACTTCTCAAATTTATTTGAGTCCTGAAATTTTAAAGCTAAGAATCACTGATTCAGATGTGGCTTTTGTGCTCATCAAATAAATATTTTTTTACACATTACTTCGGAAGGCATTCCGCCTGTGTATTTCATGGTGTCGACTTAGTGATGAATTATAGCTGAAGGATTTTCCACATTCATTACATTCATAAGGTTTTTCTCCAGTGTGATGTCTCTGATGTTTCTTAAAGGATGAATCATGCCTATAGGCTTTCCCACAGCGGTTGCATTCATATGCTTTCACTCCTGTATGGACAGTTTTATGGTTGTTAAGGTGTATCCTCTGTCTAAATGCTTTTCCACATTCCTTACATTTGTAGGGTCTTTCACCAGTATGGATTCTCTGGTGATGTGTTAGATATGCTCTATGACTAAAGGTCTTACAACATGCAGTACATGCATAGGGCTTCTCCCCAGTATGAATTCTTACGTGTTCACTAAGGTGTCTAATCTGTCGAAAGGTTTTCCCACATTCATTGCAAGTAAAAGGTTTCTCTCCAGAATGAGTCTTTAGATGTTGGGTCAAGCTAATGTTCTGGCTGAAAGCTTTCTGACATTTGTCACATACATAAGGCTTCTCCCCAGTGTGAGTTCTATGATGCTGATTAAGAGATGAGCGATGTCTGAAGGCTTTGCCACACTCCTCACATTCAAAGGGTTTCTCACCAGTATGGATCCTCTGGTGTGTATTAAGAGATGCACTTTGACTAAAGGCCCTTCCACATTCCTTACATCTGAAAGGCTTCTCGCCAGTATGAATTCTCATGTGTTCAGTAAGATGATTGGGTTGTTTGAACATTTTTTCACATATATTACATTCATAGATTTTTGCTCTTATGCAACTTATTGGATGATTAATCAAATCTAATTTGTATTTTTTCCTCTTTCTAGGTGTGTCACATTTATGATGCTTCTGTTCCAAAATATTTGAACTCACAATAATTTCCCCATATTTGTGAACATCTTGGACTCTCTTCTTGTGGGTCAAAATGGCTTGTCTCACATTTCTTCCACAGGTTTCCTGGTGCTTTTCTAACACATCATCATATCTGGAAACTTTTTTCAATGTGGAATAAATGATATCATCCCTTATGAACCTTTCCATCATAATGTCATGATACAAATGTTCCTGGGAAATGTCATTCTTTGCAGTTGACTCATTGGTTCCTGTTTTACTCTTTGAGTCTGAAATAAATGAAAAGATGCAAATAATTCATCTTCACTGTGTTTTTTTAATTAATTACAGTAATGGGAATATGATGGAGATTTAGGCAACAATACATAAAGCACATGAGCTTTTGACTATATTTATATATGATTATGCAACCTGGAGAGGTAATGGGAAATAAAATTTAAGAAACAGTGAATAGGTTAAATGTGTCATTCATTTGTAGTAAAACTAGAGTTTTTTAGTACTGTTATTTCTGATAATTCTAATGAACTATTAGTACTATTTAGTACCAATAAATACCAATTCCATTACTAATAAGTAATAAAATTTCAAAGCTGTGTCTTTATGAATATATATTTTTTCATTGACACTATTTTTGGAAAACAATCTCAGAAAGATAAAATGTTCCTCTCCCCATTTCAGCAGAAACAGAAGAGACACTGATTCAAAGACTAGGGTTTAAACTAAGAATATGCACAAGAACATTACACTGTCCTTTATTAAAACTTGTATGTATTTAGTTGTGCTTCCTGAGATATTAATACATCCATGGAAATGTTATTTATGCAAAAAAATGTTATTTATGTAAGAAACCCAGACAGTTGTATTGCTACTGCTGCTAGGTTCCAGGAAAATATCCTTTAACCTGGTCAACACAGAATAATCATTAGTGCTTTTACATTCCAAATTATAAATGAATAGAAGCATAACAAAGTCTATGCTCTTCAGGTCCCTGATTCTGGTCGAGAATAGGGGAGGAAGAAGAGAAGACAATAGTGAAAGAGAAAAGAAGGCATCTGTGTACCCCTCCCCAATTTAGTATTCAGGCCTGAAGCAGGCCCACAGAAAAGGAAAAACCAAAATTTAACTCTGAATGATATTGGGAGTTTTACTATTTCACTGAATTCAATAAATATTTTACTAAAATCAAGATTGTTCATGTTAGAGACTGGACCATCTATTAGACCTCTTAGAGATTTCATCCAGAATCAGGGCAAGGACATTCAGGGTACCTTTTATTATTATTTTCTTCTTTTGGTATTTTGTTTTGTTTTGTGGTGGTTGTGGTGGGGAGAAAACCCAGGGTCTTGTACATGCTAATGAAGTGTTGTACCACCTAATGATTTCCTTATCTCCTATTGTTTTCATTATTACAAGTTGCAGAAGAGAAACCACAAGACAATATACAATTATTAGAATTTATAACAGAGTGAAACAAGGTGGGCTGCCTATAAAAAGTCAATATTAAAAATAAATTGTGTTATTACACACAAGCAACAAGCAGAAAACAATTTTTAAAAATATATCATCTATGGGCTGGGGATGTGGCTCAAGCAGTAGCACGCTTGCCTGGTATGTGTGGGGCGCTGGGTTTGATCCTCAACACCACGTAAAAATAAAATAAAGATATTGAGTCCACCTAAAATTAAAAACTAAATATTAAATATATACATCATCTATAATAGCAATAAAATGCACAACTTCCAGAAWAAATTTTAACAATAATATGAAATATGTACAAGACCCTATGGAGAAAATCCTAAAACTTTAATGAACAAAAATTTATAATAAATACCAATAAATGGAAAAATATGTCATGTTCCTGGATAGTAGGATTCAATATCATAACAATGTTAATCTTCTCAAAATTGATCTATATATTTGATTCTGTTTCAATAAAAATGGCAACACAGCATTTGTGTCTGTCATTTAATGCACTGATTATATAATTCATATGCAAAAGCAAGGGGTTAAGTAATAGCCAGGGCAATTTTAAGAAACAAAGTGGGTACACTACTTCTACTAGATAATAGGTCTCATTATGGAATACAGTAAAGGAAGACAGCCTAGAATTAGAGTAGGGATAGAAAATTTTAAAAATGAAATGGAACAGAACGAGCCCAGAAATAGCCAGACGCAGTGGCGCACTCCCATAATCTCAGCGATTTGGGAGGCTGAGGCAGAAGGTTTGTGAGTTCAAAGCCAGCCTTAGCAAAAGCGAGATGCTAAGCAACTCAGTGAGACCCTGTCTCTAAATAAAATACAAAATAGGGCTGGGGATGTGGTTCAGTGGTCGAGTGCCYCCAAGTTCAATACCCAGTACCCCCAGCAAAAGAACCTAGAAATAGACCTAAGCATAGAACCTTGACATGTGACATAGCTGCACCAATTATCCAACAAATGGTTCCTGGACTAAATGTCCATGTAGAAAAAGTTAAATTAGACTTTTTAAAAAATCTCATATATAAAATAAATTCCAGATGAATTTCAAACAAATATGAAAAGCAAATCTTTAAAAATACAGACAGGTGCTGTGGTTGTGGCTCAGTGGTAGAGTGCTTGGCTAGTGTGTGTGTGTGGCACTRGGTTCAATCCTCAGCAYCACATAAAAATCAATAAAACAAAGGTATTCTGCCCATTTACAACTAAAAAACTTTTCTAAAAATATAGGAGTATAAAGGAATATATCATCTATATATAGTAAAATGGAGGATAACAGGGCAGAAAAGGGTATCTTACATAATAAAAAGGACACAGAAAAAAACAATAAATTAAGTAAAATTAAATTTAATAATACATATCCTTTAAAAGACATTTTATTTATTGATTGATTGATTGGTATCAGGGTTGAACCAGGGGCACTTAACCACTGAGCTACACTGAGCCATATCCCCAGCCCCCCCACCTTTTTAATTATTTTTAGTTGTAGGTGGACACAATACCTTTATTTTATTTATTTATTTTTATGTGGAGATGAGGATCAAACCCAGTGCCTCATGTACGCTACACAAGCACTCTACCACTGAGCTACAACCYCAGCYTTATCCAGCCCTTTTTTATTTTGAGAGTCTCACTAAGTTGCTTAGGGCTTGGCTAAGTTGCTAAGACTGGCTTTGAACTTGTGATCCTCTTGCCTCAACCTCCAAAACACTGGGAATATGGATGTGCAATACCATGCTTAGCCAAAGACATTGTTTTTTTAAAAACGAAAGATGGGTCACTGGCTGAGATAAAACATTTATAAAACAAAGCTATGAACAATTAGTATCCAGAATACACACACACACTTTTCTAAAAACTAATTTTAATAAGTATAAATAATAGAAAAATTGGCAAAGGATATAATAGGTAATTTACAGAGAAGGAATCTTGGATGGATGTTCAACAAATATGAGAATATGCTTCCTCTCATGACTAATTAGGAAAATGAAAGAAATAATATCATATTCACCCAACTGAATTTACAAAAATTTTCAAGTTCGACAATGCCAAGTATTGATAGAAATGCTAAGTTCTGGGAACTTTCAAAACCTGATGACAGGAATACAAATTGGTGACAATGCTTTGAAGAGGAACTTGGTAATAACTTGTAAAATGAAGGCATATATATCCCATTACCCAGCAATTTTGCTCTACCAACTACCTTGAAAAAATATTTGAATACATATATGAGCAGTTATGTGCACAAAAGTAGACTGCAGCATCTCTGTAATCCCCAAATTGGAAACAACATAGTATACCAACAGAAAAATGAATACATTGTGGTTTATTAATTCAATGGAAATGAATAAACTAGAACAACATAGAGTAACATCAACAGTGTTGAACAAGAAAAGCAAGGAAAGGGGATTGGGGTTATGGCTCAGTGGCAGAGCACTTGCCTGGCATGTGTGAGGYACTGAGTTTGATCCTCAGCACTACATATAAATACATAAAAAATAAAGATACATTAACAACTAAAAAATATTTTTTAAAAAATGCAAGGAAAGGGCTGGGGTTGTGGCTCAAGGGGTAGAGCGCTCGCCTCGCACGTGCGAGACCCTGGGTTCGATCCTCAGCATCACATAAAAATAAACAAGTGAAATAAAGGTATTGTGTCCAACTACAACTAAAAAATAAATATTTTTAAAAGATGCAAGGAAAGTAGATATATCATTTATTTGAAGAATGTGTAAAACAATGCTGTTGTTTAGGGATATATGTATGTAATGAAAGTAAGAAGACAAATGGCAACAGTAATATTTAAACAGAAGAGTGGTTATTTTGAAAGGTGGGAGAGGAACAGCAGGGCTTCARCTTTTATTTCTTAATCTGGATGGAAGTTACATAGAAATGTGTTATAATGTTCTCTATGCCTTTCAAAATGTCTAAAATTTTTCATAATAAAAGCAAAGATCAGGAAAATTGCTACTGGATTGGGCGAGAAGGAATCCTGTGCTATTTTCTCTTACAGGATTATTCATGAAGTAGCTATTACCAAAAAATAAGACAGGTAAATTAAAAAGAGATGAAAACTGGAATTGGAAAATAAAATGTGGGGAAAAGTGGAAATAGAGTGGAAGAGAGAAAATTAAGATTTGTACAGTCCTGAAAAGAGATCTGTTTTCTGTGGAGAGACCACATACATCTGACTACTTAGAGGAAAGAGCTTTAGGTGAGCAGGACTTAGGATACTGGAGAAAGAAGGAAAATCAACTTTAACTTTAATGAGGACAATTGGAAACAATATAGTATACCAACAGAAAAATGAATAAATTGTGGTTTATATGTAAACGGGGAAAATATGACCAATAATCATATTATTGAGAGACTTTTGCAAGGGCTCAGTGAAGAGAGAGGGGTAAARTTAGGTTTAGTGCATCCCTTGTCCAGTAGCCAGAGCGTTCCTGGCCGCCTGGGAGGGCCCTGAGGACTAACCCACATACTAAAAGCTATCATCTCCCTTGGTCTTACCTGAAACGTCATTTCCTGGGCCTTCTTTCTGTATCATCCATGGCTCTTCTCCTTTCTCCAACTGGGAAATCACACTAGGCTTGGAAAACTGATATCCTGGTTATGAAGTAAAAGAGAAAGAATATGAATATTTATGTTTATGTCTAAGTACCATCCTTAGAATTTAGTTCTAGTGTTCTGGTATTCAGGGGCTCTGAGAATGGGAAGGGGCATGTCTTTCTATTCTATCTCTATAAAGTAAAGTTGATCCCCAAGGAATCATATCTGCCCTGGCTTGGTTTTCAAAGGAATAATAYATCTTTAATGCAGAACCCAAGGCCAAGTCTCCAAAGAATTTACAATATTGATAATTTAGAAATAATGACTATTCTATAATGGGCAGGTTTCTGGATATATGAATGAYCCATCCTTACCCACTGACACCAGGTTCCTATAGTTCTCCAGCATCACATCCCGGTACAAATTCCGGTGAGTAGGGGCCAAATGCCCCCACTCCTCCTGGGTAAAGTCCACAAATATGTCCTTGAAGGTCAACAGTTCCTAGAACATCAAACATTCCTTTTCAGTTAGAGTCCAAGGATTTCTGACATTTTCAAAGTTTTGGGAGATTCCAAATCAATTTTACCAGGGGCCTCCCTGGATCTGTTTTGAAATTACTGTAAATATTAAATATGTAGGACATATGATCATACATGCCTTAGAAAAAATTAAGCAGATCAGAGGGAATAGGGAGACCCAAAGTGAGTGTAAAAATGATCTTTTGTGTAGAGTACTTATAGAAAGTTGCTTTGAAAGGATGATATTTGGCTAGAGAGATGAATTCAGTGAGGAAGAACCATGAGGAAATCTGTGGGGAGAGCATTCCAGGGAGGTGTAAAGAATCTTAGGTGAGAACATTCTTTTTTTGGTGGGTAGGAGAGCGGGAACTGGGGATTGAACTCAGGGGCACTTGACCACTGAGCCACATTTCCACTCCTATTTTCTATTTTATTTAGAGACAGGGTCTCAYTGAGTTGCTTAATACCTTGCTTTTGCTGAGGCTGTCTTTGAACTCGAGATCCTCCTGGGATTACAGGCCACTTGCACCTGATGAGAACATTCTTAGCTTATTTGAGGAACAAAAGGTAAAGAGCATGGATGGAGTAGGTTAGGGAAGGGGACTGTAGAAGAAGATGAGATCAGAAGGGGTAGGGAATGGAGGTAGGACAGGCACTTCTGCTCCTAATACTTTCATCAAATACCTATGCGTTCTTGCTGAGCTTGAATTCTGGGGCCCAGATGGAGTTTAGTCCAAGATGGACAAATGTCTGGAACTGTAGTCGACYGCCTTCCTAGCTTAAATACTGAAAGATAAAAAAGACTGCCCCCTAGTGGTGGTGAGAAGCATTGGCAATGAGGCAAAATTCAATCAAATTAAAGATGTACCACTGCCAGAGCTCAGTCACAGCTCCAGGAGGAATAAGAATAATCAGCCCCTCATCTTAACCAACAGACAGAGGAAAAAACTTAGACTATCTTAAAAATACAATAAAACAAAACAAAACAAAAACCTATCTATCTATACACACACACTCCCCTCATATTCCATTGTTTTTATATATATAGTTTTTTTTAATTATTAGACACTGGATGTGGTGGCACATGCCTATAATTCCAGCAACTTGGAAAACTGAGGCAGGAGGATCCCAAGTTCAAGGACAGCCTCATTAATTGAGCAAGGTCCTAAGCAACTTAGTGAGACTCTGTCTCAAAATAAAAAGGGTTGGGAATGTAGCTCAGTAATTAAGTGACCCTGGGATAAATTCCCAGTACCAAAAAACTAAACAAACAAATAAATAAATAGATGTGTAAACAAGGGGGAAATATGACCAATAATCAAGAAAATAAAAATCAAAACAGATACACAGATAATCAAGTCACTGAAATTACCAGATAAGAACTTCAAAGCAATTATTTAAATATATGCTAAAGAATTTACAATAAAAGATAGAATGGATAAAGAGATGGAAATAACTTTAGAGAGATACAGAAATGCTAGAAAAGAGATAAAAATTATACAAATGAAAAATACAATGTATGAAAATTCATTTAGTGGCCTTAAAGTAGACCAGGTAAATAAGACAAGCTCAGAAAAACTTAAAAATGAGTCAATAGATACTGTCAAACTAGAGCAGTAAGAGAAAAAAAACAACTTGTGGGTTAATATCAAATGATATAATTGAAACCTCAGAAGAAGAAAGCAAAATATTTAAAGAAAAAGTAGCTGAAAAACTTCTAAACTGATGGAACTTACAAATTCAAGAAGCTTAGCAAACCCCAAAAGGGATAAATAAACACCTACCCACATCCCAAAAAAAMCCTACACCTATGTATATCACAGCAAAACTGCTGAATAACAAAATAAAGGTGAAGATTGTAAAAGCAGGCGAAAGATCTGGAACCCAAGTGGAGTTTAGTCCAAGATGAACGTCTATCAGAAGAAAAGATGGTAAGAAAAGGGAAACAAATAAAAACAATTTAAAAAATTGGTATGAAACAAAGACACATCACACAATGATAAGAAAAACAGGCAACTCCTCATCAGAAACAATACAAGCTAAAAGATAATGGAACCTTTTGAAAATACTTAAAGAAAAAATAWACTAGAATTCTAATCCAATAGAGGATTCTCAAATAAGAGAAAATATTAAGGCATGTTTAGATTAACAAAAACTGTACAAATTGGTCACCAGAACACTTACACTACAAGAAATGATAACGTTTTTCAGATTGAAGGGAAATAAACTCCAGAAATTTGGAACAAAAGGTTTAAAAAATGAAGAGTACCTGAATTAGTAAGCAGTAGGCAAATACAAAAGACTCGGGTTATTTTTTTGCTTTTGTGGTTTTCAACTAAGGATTGAACCCAGGAGTGCTCTACCACTTAACTACATCTCCAGTCCTTTCTATTTTTTATTTTGAGGTAAGGTCTTGCTAAATTGCTGAGGCTGGCCTTGAATTTACGATCCTCCTCCTGCCTGAGCCTCTGGGGTCACTGGGAATACTGGGATTACAGGCATGTGTCACTGTGTCTAGCCCCCCAGCTCTTCTTTTTATTTTTATTTTGAGACTTTCTAAATTGCTGAAGCTGGCCTAGAACTTGTGATCCTCCTTCCTCAGCCTCCTGAGTTCATGGGATTACAGGTGTGTGCCACCATACCTGGTTTCCTAATTTTTAAATAAGACAATTTACCATCAAAAGCAAAAATGCAAACAATGTATTGTGGGGTTTGTAACACAAAAGGTAGAATACGTGATGATGATAGAACAAAGAATAGGAAGCAGTAAATGGAAATATGTTTTCATAGTAACATGTAATATGGTATATTAATTCAAAGCAACTGAAATAAATTTAAAAATGTATACCATGATAAAATGACCACTAAAACAAAACAAACAAACAAACAAACAAAAAATGTAGCTTAAAAGTCACTGGAGTGGCCAAGTGTGGTGGTAAATGCCTGAATGCCAGTGGCTTGAGAGGCTGAGGCAGGAGAATCACAAGTTCAAAGCCAGCCTCAGCAAWTTAGTGAGGCCCTAAGCAACTTAGCAAGACCCTGTCTCAAAATAAAAACATAAAATAAAAAGGGCAGGGGATGTGGTTCAGTGGTTAGGCACACCTGGGTTCAATCCCTAATACAAAAAAAAGTCACTGGAGGACATAAAATGGGATACTCAGAAATGATTTAATCCAAAAGAAGGCAGGAGAGAAGGAACAAAGAAAAAAAGAACAGAAAGGACAATAGCAAAGAACAACCTACACTTAGACTCATCCATATTAATGATTACTTTAACTGTAAATAGACTAAACTAGCAAGACCCACCCACATTTAAAAAGGTCACACTTTAACTATAAAGACACCAACAGTTTTTAAAAGGAGGACATTTTAAGGCTGGGGTTGTAGCTCAAAGGTTGAGTGTTTGCCTCGCATGCGTGAGGCCCTGAGTTTGATCCTCAGCACCACATAAAAATAAACCAAATAAAAATAAAGATTTTTTTTAAAGTTGTGTATTTAYAATTTAAAATTTTAAAAAAGGAGGGCATTTTAAACAAGATCAGGTGCATTCAGGGTGGTATGGCCATAAATCAGAGGGATATTTCATAATAATAAGTGCATCAATTCAAGAAGACAACAATCGTGTTTATGCATCTGATGATAGACTTCAAATAAATAAAAGTTGATAGAACTAAAGAGATACAGATAAAATCATGATTACAGATTTTTTAAAAAAATTATTTAGTTGTTAACGGACCTTTATTTTATTCATTTATTTACATGCAGCACTGAGAATTGAATCCAGTGCCTCACATATGCARGGCAAGTGCTCTACCACTAAGCCACAACCCCAGCCTCGTGATTATAGATTTTAATATCCTCTCAGTAATTGATAAAAACTGACAAAAATTCATCAAGGATATAGCAGATTTGAACATTACTATCAAATAATTAACTGATATTTATCGAATACCATAAACAATTACAGAATATATAYTCTTTTTTTTTAACAATACCTTTATTTCACTTATTTATTTTTATGTGGTGCTGAGGATCGAACCCAGGGTCTCGAACTCTACTGCTGAGCCACAACCCCAGCCCCTATATTCTTTTTTAAAATTAAACTCTTTTAAGACATTTGTGGGACTGGGGTTGTGGCTCAGTGGCAGAGTGCTCACCTAGCACATGTGAGGCAGTTGGTTCAATCCTCAGCACCACATAAAAATAAAGGTATTGTGTCAACTAAAAAATATTTTTTAAAAAAGACATTTGTGGATTTATATGCAGTTATAATAAGTAATACAAATTTCATGTATTCCTTATGAGGGCTGGAGCAGAGTACAAATTGGAAAGCACAAGAAGGAATTTTCTGAGATGGAGGCAATGTTCTCTTTATTAATTTGATTACATGGGTACATGCACATTGTCAAAATAGAATACATTTCCTAAATGTATTTTCCTGTATGTCATTTATACTTCAATTTAAAAAAAATTTAATCCTTTCCCATCGCTAAGGAATCTACTTTTTGATAAATGTTAGGAAGTGAGGGATTCCAGATATGTAGAATGTAGAGAAAAGATGATTCTTTAAATAATTAATCTATTATTTAACTAACTATGATTTCTTCCATATTGCCATAAATAACTGGAATGAATTTTAACCCYAGAAGGCAGACATTAGCATCTAAATTTCTTAGCTAAGGAAATAGATTGTAAAGAGCCAAAAGAAAAAAAAATTGCCCTAGACACCAAGCAAGGAAGATGAGAGAAAATCAAACTGTGCACCATCTAATATCAGATAAAATCAAATCCAATATCATCTAATTTCAGATTTAAAGTTCTTTTTACTTAAAACTCTTGTGTTGGGCTGGAGTTGTGGCTCTGTGGTAGAGTGCTTGCCTAGCATGCATGAGGCACTGGGTTGGATATAAAATAAAGATATTGTGTCCACATAAAACTAAAAAATAAATGTTAAAAAAAACACAACTCTTCTGTCTCCAATAATACCTCTGTAAAAGTCTTTTAATTTCCTTTTGTTTTACCCATGTTTCCACCAGATGGTGAAGACCCCATTTCTGACACGCTATCCTAACTGCTCTTAAAGCTGCTCCTGCTCTTTGCCCCACCTCAAAGATGTGGCCATTTCTTCTCACTTTGCCAAGGGTCATCTCTTAAAGAGTTCACAATGATATGGATATATCACTAAGAATGTCAGAATTTCATCTCACTTATGGATTTTGAATATTATATTGACATTTATCTTAGATCCCAAGTAAAATCCATTGGTTTTTAGGAGCTGGAAATATCATTCATTATGCTTTCTCTACAAAAAATAGCACAATATCAGATCAAGATGCTGGTGAGAAACAAGAGTTGCAGGAAGGCCCCTATGAGCAGAGATACTGTCACCACAGAAGCTCAAGTTTCTGAATGAGAGCAACCCACATAGTTGAACTTGTTCGTCTCAACCCACTCACTTCTCCCAAAACAGACAGGTTAAAAAACAAGAAGCATTATTAAGAAAATGAGGAAGCTCCAACCCACCTGGGGTTCTGCTGTCAGGAGGTCAGGGGTCAATTCATCCTCTAAACTTTCTTCCTGGGTCTCAGCAGCATCCTGAGACAGCAGAACTAGGGAACAAAAAGAACTATGAATTTTGCATCTACTCAAATCTCTCAAATGCAAGAACTGCTCTGTAGACCCACTGACTCTTCCCCCCAAAAATATTCACAAAAGGGGACATCTAGGGCTAGGATTGTGGCTCAGTGGTAGACTGCACACCTAGCATGCTTGAGGCACTGGGTTCGATCCTCAGCACCACATAAAAATAAAATGAAGATTGTGTTGTGTCCATCTAAAACTAAAAAATAATAAAAAATCTGGGGGGACATCTAGAATGACTCAAAGGAGCCCAAAACTCCTTAGTGAGGAGGACCTGCAGTGTGTTGCTTTGGGTATTGATACTTCCCAATGGTCAAAAGCACAAATCTATCAGGCCACTTCTTTGTTCTAAAATCCCACTTCACATTCTTAACCCCCATTTAGACTAAATAGTCRCCATTCTCTAAACCTCTCATCAAAGTACCCACTTTTCTATACTTCCTCCAAATCTTCTATAAAAAGCTTCAGATACTTTTCCAGACTCAACTCAATCTATCTGACTTATATTTCCTCAGGATTCCAAAAGAGCTTTTCTTAAGCTATCTTCTTTTGATTTGGTTGTATATCTATCTACTCTTTCAACTAATAATCAGCTTTAGAGATAATTCTTCTTCTTCTTCTTCTTCTTCTCCCTGCCCCCAAATCTCTCAAGATGCTTAGCCAAAGTCCCTGCCTGACATAGATGGAATACAATAAAAATACTGGCTGGATATGAAGTATTAGAGGTATGAGGACATCACATGAGACACATTTATTCCTCTCTCCATATATCTTCTCCTGACCAGACCACTAAATAAGGTGGGTATGTCCTAGACATGTCTCCTGCTAATTCACATAGTTCAAGGTAATATGAGAGGAATCAGGCATGTTATTTCTGCCTCTCCGAGGGGGAGGGGTGGAAATCTGATGCTTGTCAAAAATATTGGTTAAATATTTTTAACCAATAAGTGGCTAAAATGACCAGAACTTGAGCTGGAAAACCCTTCAGAGGACTTGAGAGTCAGAACCCTTTGATCCCTCTACATGTGAATCACATTCCCACATTTAAGAGCCAGAGGTGGGGAATAACTCTATTCTAGCTTCCGCTCATGTATTTTATCTGATGCCAGGAGATGGGAGCAGCATGGAGCACATATTGAAAAAGAGCCTGAGATGGGAGCCCAATATTTTCTCTCCCAGATAGACTACCCCAAAAGCCATGAGCTCAGCACGAGTGAACCCCCTCAAAGACCTTCTTTCCTCCAATTTTCTCCCCAAGAAACAACCTCAATGAAGTACATCTGTTCACATAAATGAGACCTCCTTCTTCCCCCTCCTTCAGTCTATTCTCACCTTCTTCTTCAAACATTTTAGTTACATCCTCCCATGAGGGCGCCTCCTCCTTGGCCTTCCTTGGATGGTGTAACTTCACCCAGGTACTGGCCTTGGGCAGGGTGATCAGGAGCTGCTGAGGCATGATGATGCACGACCAACTGGTCTTGTCCACTTCTGGGGAGGAAATTGCCAGAACCTCCAATGAGAGGCTTGGCAATTGCGTGGTCTTTCTTAGACTGCAATCTTCTGCCCTCGGGGCTTTGGCATGTCCCTGCAGGACTAGGACCTGGAGGACCCTAGAGGTTGGAGTGACTTTAACAACTCTGAAAACTGGACACCATTTTTTGGGAGGCAGTCAGGTGAGTTGGTTTAAGTACATGGCTTTGTAATCATTCTAGAGGAACAAAAGACAAGAAAAAAGAAATCCAGAAACACTTTTCATAGGGCCAGAACTCCAGAACCTGCAGAAATATATTTTAAAATGCAAAAGATCTAATACAATGGTGCGGCATCAATGCAAGAGTAAGTATAATCAGATTTCTTGGATGTAGCTTCCATCTCCCGATTCCACACAAACACAAAGATAGGCAAACATCCAAAGATGCACAAACATCTGCCTTGATTTCCCACCTTGTAAGCTACATGCTTATTCTGCTTGGATCCAGATTTGGGAGTCAACACAGGCTTTAAAACCAGACAGCCTGGCTAGAACCCAGACACTAGCCAATAAAAGCTCTGAGGCACTTCAATTCTGTGAGCTTCAGTTTGTTCACCTATAAAATAGGAATAGTAATTGCATTTTGTAGAGTTGCAATGTTGATTAATTGAGACAACACTAAGCATATAGCAAGCCCTTATAAACCTTTTATTTTGTGCTGCGTCATACCATTATTTTTTAAAGTTATTTTTAAAAAATAATTTGAAATATGCATGTAAAGTTCATTTTTAGTATCTTAACTGATGGAATAATCACATAGCTGTTTTAGCTGGGGCAAACAGTGACAGATACATCATCACCCGTGAAGCCTAACAACTGATAAAATGCATCCAGGGTTCGGAAATGTTAAATTGGGGGAGGGGTTAATGCTTAAATGGAAAAAATATAGTACTTTAAGTTTAACGAGGGCTCCTACAGAATTATTGGTAGCAGGCAGATTTGAAAACAACCCAAATCAACTCATCCAACCACTGGCATCTAGGCAGGTACCTCCACCATGACCAGGTCCAGTGTATCTGGAGTCCTCAAAACAGCTCGGTGGAAAAGGGGGTGGCCCAGGCAAGGGTTAYAGCTCARTGGTAGAGCTCTTGCCTTGCATGTGTGAGGCACTGGGTTGATCCTCAGCCCCACATAAAAATAAATAAAATAAAGGTCTATCAACAATTAAAAATATTTTTTAAATAATAATATATAAATAAAGATACTGTGTCCATCTACAACTAAAAAATTTTAAAAGGGGGGGCGGGTGGCCCGACTTTCTGAAGTTCGTGGAGAAGAGACTTATTGACTGCGTGCGTCCTTAGAGACTGGAGATTATAGGAAATATCCTACCCCTGAATATTAAAAAAGGACCTCTATGAGGTGGGGATGTGGCTCAAGCAGTAACGCGATCGCCTGGCATGCGCAGGGCGCTGGGTTCGATCCTTAGCACCACATAAAAAATAAAGATATTGTGTCCACCTAAAACTAAAAAATAAAAATAAAAAAAAAAGGACTCCTTATCGAAGTACAGAAACTTTGGACTCGTCCCTAAGAAGCGGTTAATGACGGAGGAGCTTCACTTTGAAGTCTTCGCACCCCCACAGGTCTCCCAGATAGGCCAGCCCGGAAAAGAGAGGTAGACCAGCAGAGGAGTACTCACCGGGTGGGCCTTGGACGCCGGGAGGGCCAGGGTTGGGACGTGGGGACGCTCGCTCCCGAGCCTTTCTGCTGCAGAGGTCTCCAGAGAAGGACTGGGTGGTAACAGATTCTGTTCTTTCCCACCCTTTTACGGACCGTCCACGACGTCCAGCGTTCGCCTAGACGTCCTTCTGAAGCCCGGAGGGCCCTCGGCCTCCGGACTGGACCAGGCTTTCTTCCAAATTTCCATCCAGGGCCCTCTAGGATGGGTGGCTTTGGGGCTGGAATGGGAGGKCGCCCTGAACCGGCGCTGACGGTGGCTTTAATGCCCGAGCCAGCAGCCACGGCCAAGTGCACCCGGCCTCAGAGGCCAAGCGGGGCGTCTTGCAGCGCCTGCGCCCCGGGACACGCCCTCCAGATGGCCAGCGACGCCCGCAGCCCGCTGCCCTGCCCCAGCCGGCCCGCCCACCCAACGCGAGCCGCTCAGTCCCGGCCCTACGCCCGCGCGTCTCGCCGAAGCTCCGCAACCCGCCGCCCGCCCTCCCCGGAGCCAACGCGCGCGCCCGAGCACCCGGAAGCCGGAAGCCGCCGAGCGCCCTGGCTCGCGTCCGCGGCCACCCAGACCCTGGGGGCGGCGCCCTATGAGGCCACCCCCTTGTTGCCCCGGCTGGGCTGCTGGGCCCCAAGGCCGGCAGGCTGATGGGGAAGCCTGGCGTCCTGCATTCATTCACTGGCTCAGCAGCTCTCTTCCTGGTGCTTGTGACCCGCCACGCGTCCTTACAAGATCTTAGGACGCAGCACAGAATGCACGCTTTCCTGMTCTCTTGAGACTTCATTCTGGTGAAATTAGTAATAAGTAGGAAAATAAATCAATGATGCCCTCAGGTGATAGCAGGAGCCTCAGAAAATAATTACATTATTTTCTGGAATACATGTTTTAAGTTTAAAGAGATATGTATTAGTTTGCTAAGGCTGCCATAAAAAAAAAAAAAATACCACACATCAGGTGGCTTAACCCACAGAAATACATTCTCTCAAACTTCTGGGAGTTAGTTTGATTTCTCCTGCGGCCTATCTCCCTGGGTTGCAGATGGCTGCTTTCTTTCTGTGTCCTCACAAGGTGTGTGTGTGTGTGTGTGTGTGTGTGTGTGTGTGTGTGTGTAGCACGTGCATACATATGTGTATGTGTACTGTGCACTATGCAAGCGTCCCTGTGCCCTTGGTGTGTCTGTGTATTCATATCATCCTTAAAGAAAATAGGAACATTAAAACATTATGTTCCTGAGTGCTCTCTTCATATTCCCAAAAACCTAGCCACGTTAGGGAACAATGAGAGCAAGCCTGGGCCAATTGAATGTCCAGATATATATTACATTGAAGGACATTGACTTATGCACACCAGGAACTAAGGCAAGTTAATGTTAACTGTAAGAGCTTCTTTTCTTGCATGTACATCATGACAGTTGTTCCTTGGGAGCTGGCCATACAAGCAAACTAAGCAAGATAATGCTGATAATGTCACAGCTTATGCTGCTTAACATGTAAAACTCCTCTTTCAGTGGTAACTGGGAAAGAACTGAGGGCACTGTAGGGATGGACACCTGTCACTCATGCAGCTGGCCACGACKGGACAAAACACCATGAGGAAGAGGTGGCACTGTTTGGCAGAAGTATAGTGGGGGTTGGAGTGCTATCTGTTCAGCCCTACTGGAACTTCCCTGTAAACATTTCTCAATAAAGCCTTATGCCTTGGCTCTTGGCAACCTATCTCACTGCTCTGGCAAAACTGGGCCATAGATGTGATAGTATCTAAATTTCCTCTACTTATAAGGTCACCATTCAGATTGGATTAGAGCACATCCAAATGCTAAATTTTAACTTAATTACCTCTTTAAAGGCCAAGTCTCTGAATACAGATGGATTATGAGGTAATGGGGATTAGGGTTTCAACATATAGATTTGTCAGGGGAGAATAAAATAGAGCCRTAACAAGGCATCTAAGAGATGGCAAGGCAGTAGGGAATTACCAGACCAAACCTGGAAAGCTAGCATCCGGGAAGGTAAAGAAAGGCAGAAGCTGTTTGGCCCTGTCAGCTGGAAAATTATAACCTTCCTTTTGCACTTCAAAGAAAAATACTTAAACACAACAAAATGGGGACAGAAATAGGAGGAGGTCCTTCTAAAAACTGGGACCACAAAAATTTATATCCTTAGAATAAAGATGAATAAGAAGTGAAACAGCTTTAGAGTTATTTGCAGGCTGGATTCAACTTTCCTTTGTTTTTTTTTTTTTTTTGCTTCAACAACAGGTATTTTATTTTTCACAGTTTTGATACTTGGGAAGTGCAAGATATGTGTCTGGTGAGAGTTCTCTCCTTTTTTAAAAAATCTTAAGTCATGATCTTTSTTTTAGTCAGCTTTTTTGCATTGTGACTAAAAGATCTGACAAACATTTTGGAGGAGGAAAAATTTATTTGGAGGCTCAAGGTTTCAGAGGTCTCAGTCCATAGACAGCAGGCTCTATTCCTCAGGGCTTCACAGGGGAAGAGTGTGGTGGTGGGAGGAAGCAGCTCACATGATGATCAGGAAGGAGAGAGAAAGAGAGAGGGACTCCACTTGCCAGACACAAAATGTGTACCCCAAAGGCATGCCCCCAATCACCCACCTCCTCCAGCCACACTCTACCCACCTTCAGTTAACACTCATTTAATTCCCATCAGTGAATTAACTTACTGCTTAGGTGAGGGATCTCAAACCCAATTGTTTCTCCTCCAAATCCCCTTGCATTGTCTCACACACAAGCTTTTGGGGGGACACCTAACATCCAAACAACAACTAGAATGTCAATAGGACTGTGGACAGTAAAGACAACGCTCAAGAGGGTTCAAAGAAGGAGGACTCTATTAAAATTTGAAGTAGAGGCCATTCACATTGTGTTCTGGCTGAGAAGTTGTCTACATTTGGTCCATGTCCTGAGACTTTCTGTGAAGTTGATTTTAAAAGCAATGGACTTCTTAATCTGGTGGAAGAAATTTCTAAGAAGCATAGCATTCAGGCAGTGGCATGGATAGTGCTGGAGGATTTTAGCCAAAGTTTATTTTGATATTCAGGAGAAGGCAGAAAAGAAAGATTTGAAAAACTTGGACTTCAAAGGCAGGAGTAAAACTGGGGCTAAGGAAGTTGCAAATGATAAAGACATTACAGCCACTAAGGAATGCTAAAGGCTTTGCCCCCAAATAATAAAACAGATGGCTTGAGGGTATCTCAGGAGCTGGTAAGACCACACCCATCTCAGGCTCARGGAGTAAWAGTAAAAAAGAGACCAAAGGGGCATCCTTGCACTAGGACACCTAGGAAGTTTTTTCAACATGCTCAGCCACCCAGACACTCAGAGGCTGCTGCAGTCAGGGTCCCTGGAAGCTTTACCACTGCTCCAGACGGTGGCAATCTTGGTGGCAACCATGTGGTGATGGTTCTGCAGGAATGCGGGATGCTGGAGTTAGGGAATCATGGGGGCTTCCAAGATTTCAAAGGAAGGTCTGGGAGGCCAGGCACAGTGCAGCAGGGTTGGAGTCCCCATGGACACCCTCTGAGAGGACAAAGTATGGAGATGTGAGGAGGAAGCCAAAGCTGTCCCRGAGACCCCTGAGATTAAGAAAYGCCAGTAACATGGGACATCATCCTAGGAAAGCTACAGGAATTAAACAGAGACAAGTCAACAGAAAGGCCACTTGGGCTGCAACCAACAAGGCCATGAGGCAGAGCTACAAAAGTCCTTTGGACAGAATATTGCCGTGTCATGTGCCCCAGATGCCAGACATGGAGCTACAGGACTTGTTCGCCAGTAATGCCTTGGTCCTATCCCTTCTTTCTCTACCCATATTTTTCTTTTTTTTTTAAATATTTATTTTTTTACTTTTTTTAGGTGAACACAATATCTTTATTTTACATTTATGTGTTGCTGAGAATGAAACCCAGTGCCTCACGCATGCTAGGCGAGTGTGCTACCACTTGAGCCACATCCCCAGCCCCCCATATTTTTCTTAATGAAAATATTTACTCTATACCTTTACATATTGCATATTTGTAAATCATTTTTTATTTCTTCAGGAGCTCATGATGCAAGTTTGCCTTGAATCCCAGAGACTTTGGATTGAGCTTTTGGGCAGTTCTGGAACTGTTGAGACATTGGGTGAAGGGAAAGTGAGGAACAAGAGATGAGTAAGCGAGAAATGAAAGACAGAGACAAGGCAGAGTTACAAACGAGAGTTTATTTGTCAGAGCTCACAAATAAAGGCTATTTCTCTATAGGATAGAGAGGCAAAACAGGCTTGAGGTTTGGGACTTTTATGGGGGAGGCTCAGGAATCAGAGCTGAACAGGTCCTAATGTGGGCAGTTAGGGTTGGTTGGTATGAGGAGWTTCTTTCTCAGAAACTCCCAAGGGTGGGAAAGTGAAACTTTTTCCTTAAGATGGCGGCTATCACTAAAGATGGCCATCCAGATGCTAAGCAAGGACCTTATATTTGGGACTTTTGGTAATGGGCTAAATGTATTTTGCATTGTGAGATAGTCATGAACTTTTGGGTGCAAGGGGCAGAATATTATGGTTTGGATGTGAGGTGTTCCCCMAAAGCTCATGTGTGAGACAATGCAAGGTTTGGAGGAGAAATGATTGGGTTATGAGAGCCCTCACCTAAGCAGTGAATTAATTCACTGATGGGAATTAAATGAGTGGTAACTGAAGGTGGGTAGGGTGTGGCTGGAGGACGTAGGTGATTGAGGGCATGCCTTTGGGGTACACATTTTGTGTCTGGCAAGTGGAGTCTCTCTCTCTCTCTCTCTCTCTCTCTCTCTCTCTCTCTCTCTCTCTC